CTTTATCCCAAAGAGATCATAAAAAGGGGAAAAGGACCCACATGTACAAAAATATTCATTTTTTTGTGGTGGCAAAGAATTGGAAATGGAAGGGATACCCATCAATTGGGGAATGACTGAATAAATTGTGGTATGTGAATGTAATAGAATACTATTGTGCTATAAGAAATGATGAGCAGGCAGACTTCAAAAAAACCTGGAAAGACAGGAGCTGATGCAGAGTGAAATGAGCAGAACCAGGAGAACATTGTGCATAGTAACAGCCAAATTGTACGATGACTAACTTGATAGATTTGGCTCTTCACAGAAATGCAAGAATCAAAGACAACTACAAAAGACGTACAATGGAAATTTCGATCCACGTCCAGAGAAAGAACTGTGGAGTCTGAATGCAGATGGAAGCATACCATTTGCTCTCCTTTTCCTTTGTTGTTTTGTTGCTTCATTCTTGTGGTTCCTCCCATTAGTTCTAATTGTTCTTTACATCATGACTAATGGGAAAATATGCTTAATATGAATGTATAAGTACAGCCTGTATCAGATTGGGGGAGAGGGGGAGAAAATTTAAAACTCAAAATCTTATGGAAGTAAATGTTAAAACTAAAAATTAATTAATTATCAAAAAAGAGAAGCTTATATTCTAATCAGGGAAGGCAATATTTAAAAGGCAGCTGAGAAGCGGGGGGGAGGGGGAAGAAAAGGTAGGAAGTGGCATGGAGGGAGAAGTTTGAAGAGTCAGAAATTGGGAGAGGAGTGGAGTGAGCATGACTGGCCTCAGCACATCCTCCAAATAGAAATTCATGGAGGTATTCATAAGTATAAGGAGAGGACCACAGAAGCAGAGAGATCTTCCAGGGTGAGAAGGTGAATGAGATATGGTGAAAAAGTCCAGAGAATCAGACGTGGAGCCAGAAGAGGAATCAAGGAATGAGCACATGGTTATTGATAGGGAGGAATCCTAATGAAATTGGTGGTTGGGGGTCCAGTGGGTCTAGTTATACCACTGTATGAGCTCGTACTCTTCCTGTATTTTCCTAAACAGCAGCCTCCATGTCCTCATGGTTTTGTCCAGAAGGGCGGGAGACCCAGGAAAAAAAAGACTCCCAGTCAGTGCTGTCAGGCACTAAGTGTGCCAGAGTCTGGTGAAAATATTGAAAAAAAAAATCACACACCCCCTTGGTGAATTCCAGAGGGTAGCAATTAGTGTTGCAAGTGCCAGTAGTAAATCTTTGGGTGTGGTGAATCCAGGAATGTATTTGGGGAAACAATTTTATCTTGGTTAGACCAGGGGCCTGCGTTCATTGCATTTACTTTCTCCTGGCTAGTAAACCAACATCCATCTCTTCATTAAGATTAAATGCAGTAATGGCAGCAAATTTATGTAGCATTCCAAAACACCTTTCTCACATGTTGTCTGTGTACTAGGGTCAGAGTTATCTCCATTTCACAGAAGAAGAAAGTGAGTCAGAGAGTAGAAGTAATTAACTGAATGTCACACAGCTAGCATCAAAGTCAGGATTGACCTGGCTTTCTGACTCCCAATCTAGTGCTCCTTCCATTGTATCCTGATACCTCTGAGGGTCCCTTCCTCTCTGAGGCTGACCCTGTTTCCTCACCACTACTGGAATAGACATCAGGTAGTAACTGTTCTCCTGAACTGTCTTGAGAACATGCAAATATTTGCTAAAGGGAACCTGCACGATAACAGCAGTCCTTGTACCTCCAATACAAGTTTTTGTTAGACCTAACAAGCTATGTCTCCAACTCGATGAATGCTTTTTATGTGTCTATATTATTTAGAGACTCCTTCTTGTAGGTAGAAGAAATATGGACTCATATCTTCTTCCCCCTACCCTCACTGCCCTAGATCCTGTTGTAGACAGATTGAGAATTTAAAAACTGGTCTTTTAATCCCAGTTTTTCAATAAAGAGTTGCATGATCTTCAGTAAATCACTTTATAGGCTGTGGAGCTAGAAAAGACCTTAGTTATTATCTCTGCAACTCCTTCATTTTACAGCTTGAAGTCCAATGAAATTAAGTGATTTGTCCACTTAAGGGCAAATGAGGAAATAAGTACAAGAGACTGGAGCTGAATCCAGGTCCTCTGATTTAAAATGCAACATTCTTTTCTACTCTACCACAATATTTCTCTGTAAAATCAGGTTATTGGACTCAATCTTTCTGGTTCATTATAGTTCTGTCATTCCATGTTGTGGTTGGAGGCAGCAGGATAGAACAGAATGAACATTAAATTTGGAGTCAGAACACGAAGGTTATAGTCCCAAATCTGCTACTTACTACTTGTGTAAATTTAACCAAGTCACTTACTTTTTCTTGGCCTCACTTCTTCATCTGTAAAATGAAGGGTTGGATTAAATTATCTTGAAAGACTTTGCTAGTTCTAAATGTGATATTTCTTTCCGGCACTAGGATTCACTTGTGTTTTTTGAAGTTACAGAAGTAAGAAGTATGAACTGTCCTTCCTCATCACTGGTATAAAGCTCTTTGTGATTTTTTTTTTTTTTGGCATTTTGACTTTAGGCAAGGAAGTAGGTGAGATCTGACCTAAGAATTATGTGGAAGAAGGACACTCTTGTATAATGTGGATCAGATGAGTGGGGAAGAAAGCGAGATTCCCTTAAAGAGGCTGAAGGAGCTCTTCCTTTTCCCATTGAGATCTACTTTAAATTGTTATTTTTTATTATTATTTTTCTTTTTTTGGGTGAGGCAATCGGGGTTAAGTGACTTGCCCAATGTCACACAGCTAGTACGTGTCAAGTGTTTGGTCTGAGGCCGGATTTGAACTCAGGTCTTCCTGACTTCAGGGCTGGTGCTCTATCCACTGCACCACCTAGCTGCCCCTACTTTAAATTGTAATATCCTACTGCTCTCTAATGGCCTAATCTGATGTCCCATAGGTACAAAGCTAAGATAACTCCTCAAAGATTATTTAGTGAATCTGGACTGAAACCCAGGCCTTGGGGGTACCATTCAATCAACCAATTATCATTTTTAAAGCACCTACCTAGTGTTAGGCTCAGAAGGAAGAGCTGAAGATAAAAAAGGGAAGGAGTCTCTGCCTTTAAGAACCTTAACTTCTCCTGAAAGTCAGGGAACATGTCCAGAGGTATGTGTCAATATAAGATGTTTGTGAAATAGACAAAAAGTGATTGGCAGGGGTGGGAACACTAACAGCTGAGGGAGTCAGGAAGGGCCTCATGTACAAGACCTTTTGGTGCTCTTGGAATCTCTTATTTCTTTCAAGTATCATCTTCCACATGAAATCTTTCCTAATCCTTTTACCCGCTGGTACTCCTCCAATTTTTGCCATTCAGTTGTTTTTCAGCCATTTCTGAATCTTCATGACCCCATTTGGGGTTCTCTTGTCAAAGATACTGAAGTGGTTTGCCATTTCTTTCTTCAGCTTATTTTACAGGTGAGGAAACCAAGCAAACAGGGTTAAGTGACTTGCCCAGAGTCACATAGTTAGTGTCTGAGGCCAGCCTCTCCCAATTACTTTGTATTTATTTTATATATGCCTATATACATACATGTTGTTCTATTTATATCTCTATCCTCTAGAACAGTGTACAGCACATAATAGGTAGTCAATAAATACCTGTTGATTGTTTCAGGAGAAGCAAACTCTAGGTTTGGCCTCCCGCAAATCACTGCGGGATGTGGATGTGGGGTAGAAAAGCTGGGGACAGAGGGACTTTAGTCTAGTTTAGTTTAGGGACTTCTGGTTTCTCCTCATTAGGGCCCTGGGAGAGTCTGAAACCAAAAGGCACTTCCACTGGGTCTCTTCAGCAAAGGAGAATAGGTGTTAGTCCAGGAGAGTTGGGCGGGGCCTTATTTAAGCTCCTAAAAACAGCCTGTGAAGGCACAGTCAGTTGAGCTGTGATTGTCCATCTGCACTAAGCATCTGTTTACCTTCATACCAGGCACCTTTCCCATACTTTATCAATACTTTTAGAGCTACTTTTGGAGTCTGCAGTCATGGCTACTCCAAATAAAGATCCCATTTGGAACCTGGAGCTCAAGACCAAGGCTACTGTGACCTTCAGTTCTAGTCCAGTCAGCCCACCAGACAGCACCTGGAAGTTCCAGAACAAAGAATGTAACAACTACAGATCCAAGGAGGGGATCACCCCTGAGGGTGGGAGCAATGGCTCTGACCCAAGCTCTTACCAGAAGGTCAAGGGGATAACGTAAGTGGTTCATTTTGTCTTTCTTATTTTTGGCCTGGTTACTGTTCTATCTTGTGTTTGCAATAAATACTCTTTGGGTTGTCCTTTGGTTCTTCGTAGGTGGTGTTGAGAAGTAGGTGTATCTCATTCTCCCCATTTGACAAATGGAGAAATTGAGTTATGGGAATATTAAGTTAGTTGCAAAGCTAAGATCAGAACTCCTTGCCACTGAGGATCCGGTCTGCTTTGTAGACTTTGTTCTTCCTGGCTGTGCTGTCCCTATAAGGTCCTGAGTGCAGAGCAGAAACCCAAGCTGCTCTAAGAAAGCATCTAGGCCAGGGGTCCTTAACCTTTTTTGTGTTATAGACCCCTTTGGCATCCTGGGGAAACCTATGGATCCCTTCTCAGAATAATGTTTTTGAATGCATAAAATAAAATGTATAGCTTTGCTGACTTTCTCCAAGTCTTCAAGTCCCATATTCCATAAGAAGACTTTTCTATACCTCCTTCATCTTATTGCCTCCTCTGTGAGAGTATCTCCGATTTATGCTGCATGTATCTTGTTTGTAATTCTTTACCCATTATCTTTCTCCCATTAGACTGTGAGTTCCTTGAGAACAGGGATTATTTTTATTTTTTGACTTTCTTTGTATCCTCAGCATTTAGTACAATGCCTGGCACATAGTAGGTGCTTAATAGATGCTTGTTGACTTGACTTTTAAAATGAGTTCATGGACCCCAGGTTAAATTCCTGATCTAGAGAAAAATGGTACCTGAATTTAGGACCTCTCATGAGCATTAGGGAGAGCCTGGGGATTTCTGGTATTAATACTAATAGCTCAAATAACCTCATGAAGAAGGGAGAATAAATATTAAAATTGCCATTTTGCCAATGATGACAGTGAGGCCTGACTTTCCTACCCCCTTCTCATCAAATAAAAATTGTAGAGACTCCTCTCAGAAGGTCACTGGATTCTGGCTCCCCCTCTTCCCTTCAGACTCTGTCTTGGATCTATCATAAGTAGAAAAATAGGGTTTTTCTGGGGAAATGTTCTTTGTTTCTTATTCAGGGATTATCTAACAGGGTTCTCTTTGCATCTAATCTGTTTGAATTGATGCCCAATAGATAGAAGTTTGTTTTTTCAACACCTACACAGGCTGGTAACCTGCAAGGAAAGCCCCTGGGGCTGTGGAGAATTCAGGGACAGAGGGCACATTCCCCAAGGCCTGACTTGAGATCTAATTTAGTTCTGGGGCCTAGAGAAGTATTACCCAGGTAGTGCAAAATGACACTTGGCTGCTAGTGTGCAGTGAACAGGGGTGACCTAGAATCATGGATTGATAGCTCTGGAATGAACCACAGAGATCATCTAGTCGGTCCATCTCCACTTAACAGAGCTGGGGAGAGGAAAGACATTCATTGAGATCACACAGGAAGTGAGGGATCCATCCAAGATCAGACCCTAGGTTTCCCGGTTGCTAGTCCTGGGTTTTTTCTAATTGTTGCTGGAGAGGGTTAGAATGAGTATTTAAGATTAAGTATTCCCAAGAGAAACATATCAGCTCATTTTGAGCTCCCAGGCTCTTAAGTAAACATTTCAAAAGTGAACCATTTACCCTTTCTTAGTTGCAAAAGGAACCTGTCTCCAGCATGTGGTAACGCAGGGGCTATTTGGGTGATATCTCTGCCTATGGAAATAAAAAGGGGTATCTACTTAGCTGTGATCTGTGTTCATTGCTCTCCTTAACACTTAACAAGCTGAATAATTACTCCTCGGCCATTAGAGGATTTAGATGTATAACAGAGGGTCTGGGTTGCTAGGATAAAAGGAATCACTAAACTAACAAAAGAAATATGTTTTCTTAGCCCATGGTCAGAGTTCTCTACCATCTCTTCAGAAATACTATTTTTACATATGAACTGAAGCCCACTTCAGTTTAACTTTGCCCAAGTGGAAGGAGGCAAATGAGGAGAAACATGCTAGATATTTAGTTTTCAGCTAACAAAGGGTAAAGGCACACTTGTTGAAATTTTGTTTTTGGCTCAATTTGTCCTTACCTCCTGTTATGGGTTTTCCAGGAACACTACCAGTCTTCCACCTTCTGCCCCATCATGTATGTGTGTGTGTACGCTCAGGGAACAAAACTTAGGTAACTTTCAACAAATCACTTCCTCTTTCTGGGCCTTTGGAGGACAGCATAATGGTTCATAGAGGAAGTAACACTGAATTTCAAATCAGAGGATCAAAATTCGAATATTTGTTCTCCTTCTTACAACCTGGGTGACCATAGATATTTCATGTAAACTTCTGGCCCTCAGTTTTCTCATCTGTAAAATGAAGTAATTGGACCAGACAACCTTCAAGACTCCTTTCAGCTCTGATATTCCTTGTTCTAAGAGCCAGCTGAGTTCTCTTGTCCTACAGTATGTTCTCAGGTATCCTGCTATTCTGTCATGTCAACCTACTACACATGAGTTGGAGTGAAGCTTAACAGAAATCTCCACCCACTCAAACACACTAGGGTCACTCTTGGGCAGGAGGCTGGGTCTTTATTTTCACTGTCTGTAAACTGTGGGAAGCCTAAAGGCCAAAAGCGGCCATTTACTTGTACCTGTCACTGTTATTTCTCAATCGCCTACTCTGTTTGTACTGACTTGAGAACCAAGGCTTTAGGCCCTTTTCTTGTTTGTTTACAAATGCTAGGCCCTTCTGCTTCCTTCCCCATAGGGGGTCGTTTCTGTAGGTTGACCTGTTCTCAGAAACTGGAAATGGATTGCATGACATCCTAAGATCCCTGCCAACCGTAGGATTCTGGGACTCCGTACCTTTCTTGCTTCAGTGACCCTGTATCTCCCACATTCTAGTAAGATTGCTGCTTTTATCACAACCCTTTCAAGACCATTAGAGATTTCTTTTGTTATTGATAATAGCAGATAGTGTTTTTAAGGTTTGTAAAGAGCACCATAGGCCCTATCTCATTTGAACCTCATGACAAGCCTATGAGGTGAGAGGTACAAATAATATCTTCCTTTTCACATAGGAGGAAACTGAGGCTCATAAAAATGAAGTGATTTGCCTAAGGTACACAGTCAGTTAAGTGGTAGAACCAGGATGCAAATTCACGTCTTCTTACTCCAGTAATCTTTTGTTTGTTGTTCTTTTGTTCTCTTTTTCACCCTTCTGTACATACAACATGTGCTAATTCATTTATACAGTCTTTGTCCTCCAGGAGCTTGTACCAGGTAAGATAAAGACACACACACACACACACACACACACACAAACTATGATGCAGAATAAAACATGTTCTGCTCCCACACAAACAACTATAATGAAGAATAAAACATGTTCTGCTCCTGTTATGCACCTAAGTGCTATGAGGTCTCAAAGAAGGGAGAAGTCACTTCAGTTCCACTCCAGTGGAGAAGGAAGAAAATTCAGAGAAGGCTTCATAGACTAAACAGCTTTTGAATTGAACCTGGATGGGGTAGACGGAGAAATAAGATAGGAGAAGGTCATTCCAGGGATGAAGAACTCTGGGAACAGAGATGGCAAAGTACAGGATGCATCTAGAGGAAACTGAGTTCTTTAATTTAGCTGGTGCTTGGAGAATATTAGAGGTGTATGTGTGCATGTGTGTGTGATATGATGCAAAAGATGAAGAGGTAGCATGGTACCATATGTCAAGGGCCTAAAATTTCAGACTAAGGAATTTGGACTTTATCTTCAAGCAACACTATGCCATTGAAAAGTTTGAGCAAGAGAATAACATGGGTTTTGTTTTAGATTAATTTGCTTGTGGGTGCAGAATGGGCAGGAAAAAATGTCTTGTTCTTCTAAAATACCTGCAGTCCTGGGAGTGAGTGGTATAGAATATGAAGGCTATACTATATTTCCCTATGTTTGTTTTGCCTTCAATCAACACAGCAGGTCTAGCAGTCAGACCTGCAGTCACTCAGGTATATCTTTTTGTCCTCTTCAATCTCCTAAGGAATCGATTTATTAGGATATTCACCTGAGACCAATTCCATGGTCAGGTGATTCCCCACAGGACCTTTATTCTAAATGATTCTGCCTCTTCAAGGTGTCTCCACATGATTTGCAAGTTGGAATGCAATAGGATGTTCCTTCCACAGGGCTTTAGATGCCTGTGCTCTAGTTTCGGGGACAGAGCTCTAGTATAGTCAATGTAGTAATTGGCATCAATTCCAGATATTACAGGAGAGGACAATGGAGCTCACAGATTGCACCATTGGTACCACCTAAACCAGTTCTGTTGCTTTGTCTGCAACTACAGCCCAGGAACTGAGCATGGGGTACCCCTCCCTCCACACTGATTCTCCTTGTCTACTTTTGCAGATGGTTCCAAACTTTGATTCACCTGTTGAAAGGGAATATTGGCACAGGTCTCCTGGGACTGCCCCTGGCAGTGAAGAATGCAGGGCTCTTGGTAAGAGGTGTGGGTGCTGTAGGAGGGAGGAATATCCCATCACTCTGGGAAAGAGTTAGTGAGGGTGATGTCACTTTCATTTGTTTGTTTATTCATTCATTCATTCATTTATGATAATGAAATGGGAAAGCTTATTCTTTAATTGAACTTCCAAAGAGGAACTTGGGGCCTCGAGGTCACATGTGTCTCTCTAGGTCCTCAAGTGTGGCCCTTTGACTGAATCCAAACCTCACAGAACAAATCCCCTTAATAAAAGGATTTGTTCTGTAAAACTTGAACTTAGTCAAAAGGCTGCACCCAAGGACCTAGAAGACCACAGGTTCCCCACCCCTGGGTAAGACCCTTTTGGACACTGAGAGTGCCTTGAAAGTTAGACAGAACACTAAATCTTTATTAAACTAAGTTTAGGAAGAAATCATAGGGTATATTTGGCTGTCCCTGAAGTTATATCCTGAAGTGATACACTTAGAATCATAGAATGTCAGAACTGAAAAAACCCTTAGAGATCATGATTATCTAGTCTACTTCCTCCTTCCCTCCCCCATTTTTTTTTAATAAGATGGAATTAAGGCCCAGAGAAGGGAAAATCACAATGAGTTAGATGGATTTGAGCTAGAATCTTTGTCTCTTCCAGTCTAAGTCTGTCTTTGCTACACCACTGATAGGTTATGAACACATCCCTTTTTTTTTTCTTGAGGAGACTCAGAAACTTACTAGAGTTCATACCAGTGTCCATTTCATACAATTTCCTCTTCAATCTCAACATTTGCCTCTTCATTGGATCAATCAGATGGTTGTTTCCTAAGGATAAACTGTAACAATGTTGTCTTTGTTCAGCCATCCCTGCCTCTTATGGTTTTAATAACTACGTCTCCTTTTCTCTCCCCAAACCCTTCTCTAAAGATGGGTCCTCTCAGTCTGTTGCTCATGGGCATTGTGGCTGTACACTGTATGGGCATCCTGGTGAAGTGTGCTCGCCACTTGTGCCGCAGGTAAGATACACTTACTTCTCCCTATTCTTTTTTTTTTTTAAAGGCAATTGGGGTTAAGTGACTTGCCCAGGGTCACACAGCTAGTAAATGTCAAGTGTTTAGTCCGAGGCTGGATTTGAACTCAGGTCCTCCTGACTTCAGGGCCAGTGTTCTATCCACTGTGCCACCTAGCTGCCCCTACTTCTCCCTATTCTTGAATAAAAGGTTTTGTACTTTGGTCTATGTTCCTTGTGTGTATTGGTGTAGCCATGTTTCATTTGTCTTTCTGGTCTTAATGTGACATATGTATGATTTTTTTCAGAGCTTAAATGAAACCATTTCATTACTATCTGTTTCTCAAATAGAACAAAAGTTGTTGAGCCACTCCTACTTCAAGAACTTTCTAAAACATAGAAGACACAAAACTAGATCCCTGTCTAGTCACCAAATGTCTTACCCTTTCAAAGCTGTACCCACCTCTCTTCTACCGACTCTTACCTTCCCTTTTAGAAGTGAATAACTTATTGGACTTGGCCTAAGAAGACCTAGGTTTGAATTCTGCCTCTGACACTTAGTAGTTAGGCCTCTATTTTTTTATCTGAAAAATGGGGATAGTACCTATTGAATAGAGTTGGCATTTTTCAAAGAGCATTGACATTTATCAACTATTATTATTAGGTTTGTGCCAGACAAGAGATCAATTGAGCCTAGAATTTAGTATCCATGAAGGAGCATAGTATAATTGAAAGAGTCCTGGCCCAGGAACTAAGAGACTCAAGTTCTAATCCCAGAACTACCTATGTGACCTTTAGTAAATTGCTTGCTTTCTTTGGGCCTTTTTCTTACTTCTAAAGTGAAGGGTTGGAATACACAGAATATTCAAGGAGCCTTTCAGCTACTATATTCTATGATTCCACTAGTGGAACCACATCATATTTGGCAATTTTTCTCCATAAGGATTCTGCCCAGAGGTCTCATAGGCACAAATAGTGCCCTACACACCTGACTTTTGCCTGACAATAACACCTCAGTATAGTGAGCATTATTGTTCATCTTTCATTCACTATACCTCTATAGTTAGTGAACTCCTACCAAGCATATTCCTTAATTACTAGCCCCACTAGGAGCAAAGTGTCTACAAACCCCACCCACATCCCACTACAACCCTGCCCAACCCTTCCACTATACCCTCTGGAATTCCCATTTCATAATAAACAAACAACTTCATCCTAGACATCTTTCTCTCATGTTCCTTCCATCTCCTAGCCTTCATTGAGACCTAGCTTTCTCCAGGTGACACTGCATCCCTTGCTATCCTCTCCAGCATCAGTTGTACCTTCCCTCATATCTTCCAACACAGTGGTCCAGGAAAGAGAGTTGGAATGCTTCTGATTCCGCACTACCACTCCAGAAGATCTCTCTGCCACCATCATCCATCAACATCTTTGAGGTTCCTCCCTCTCTACTAAACTCCTAGAAAAAGTCATCTACCCTTCCTCCTCTTCCTTCACTTCTACTACCTCTACTTCTCCTTCCACCCAAAACCTCATAACTTCATCACTCAAATGAAACTTCTCTCTGCAAAGTTACCAATAATCAACCCTTGAATGCCATATCTAATGGTCTTTTCTCAATCCTCATCTTACTTGACTTCATTGCTGTATTTGACACAGTTGTCAACTAGCTCCTCCCGAATGTTCTCTTTCTTCTCTGGGATTTCCTCGTGTTGTTCCTGATGGGTTCTCTTCCTACCTGTCTGGCCACTCTTCAGTTTTCTTTGCTAGATCATATCAGAGCCACTAATCATAGGTTTTTTCCATTACTTTGTCCAGGCCCCCTTCTCTTCTTCCTATATATATTCTTTTGGTGACCTCATCAGTTCCCATGAATTTAATAACCATCTCTATTCAGGTCACTCCCAGACCTTTATGTGCAACCCAGTCTCTCCCTTAGTTTCTGTCCCATGTAACCAATTGCTTGTTGGGACATTCAAACTGAATGTCCTAGAGACAGCTCCAACTCAGCATGTACAAAAGGGAACTTACTACCTTTTCCCTCAAACTTATCTGTTTTCCAGACTTCCCAAATTTTTGAAAATACCACAATTCTTCTAGTCTCCCAATGTCATCCTTGACTCCTCAGTCTCCTGTATCCCACATAACCCATCTATTGCCAGTTTTTGCCCTTTTGACACCCATAGCATCCCTCCCATACGGCTACTTTTCCTTAAGTGAAGATCTAACTAGTAAACTACCTCTTCACTCACCTCCACTGGCTCCCTATTGCCTCTAGGATATAGCTTTTAGGCGCAGCTAGGTGGCACAATGGATAGAGCACCGGCCCTGAAGTCAAGAGGACCTGAGTTCAAATCCGGCCTCAGACCAAACACTTGACATTTACTAGCTGTGTGACCCTGGGCAAGTCACTTAACCCCAATTGCCTAAAAATTAAAAAAAAAAAAACAACTAGATTATAGCTTTTACTTCAATCTCCTTCCCCTGTCACTACTGTTAAATTCCCCATCCTTCACCCAATTTCATCTCCATCAACTCATCCCTTCCATCTGGCCTTATCTCCCCTACCCTGCTCAATCAAAATCAATTGACAAGTATTGATTAAATGCTTGTTCTGTGCCAGGCACTTAGGATACAAGTACAAAGAATGACACAATCCCTACTTGCAATGAACTTATATAGCTAATCATAATGATGATGATAACAATAATAATAGCTAACATTTATATAATACTTTACGGTTTTAGGTTTGCAAAACCCTTTTACAAATATTATCTCATTTGATCCTCAAAACAGCCCAGGAAAGTAGATGCTAATATTGTCCCCATTTTACAGATGAGAAAATTGAGGCTTAGGGAGGCTAAATGACATTTCCAGAATCGTACATCTAGTAGGTGCCTGCAGCAGGATTTGGATCTGACTCCAAGCCCAGCACTCTATTCATTAGGCTGTCTAGTTTCATCTCTTTAACTCTTCCAATTATTTCCCAATTTGCCAAAGAGAGATTACTGGAAGGATGGAGCATGATCTTGGGAAGTCCATATCACCATACTAAACAGTCTCAGTGTTCCTTTCACAAATCTAATTTTTTTTATGAACTGCAATTCACTTCAGTGACCCTGCTTTAGAGCTAGTCTGGTCTCTAACATCTCTAATAACTTTGAATCTTCAAGGAGTCAGAAAGAAGTTCATCTAGATCACCTCAAGACTTGGTGCCCTCATTCTATGGAGGTGACACACAGGAAATGAGCCAATATTTGGCAATTCCAATTAAACTCTCTTAGTTCTTACAGGGCCACCTTGTTCCCTGTACATGCCTCCTCTGCTTATTTTGCAGTGAGAACACATGCATATCTTTCTTTACTGCCTAGGGATTCAACTGTCCCCATATACACTCAGCCAGCTAGCAGTTATATATGCTACCTTAAGGTTTGCAAAGTGCTTTACAAAAACCATCTCATTTGATCATCACAACAATCTCTAGGAAGTAGGTACTATTATTCTTTACATTTTTCAAATGAGGAAACTGAGCCTGTGAGAGGTTTAGAGACTTGCCCAGGGTCACATAAGAAGTAAGTGTCTGAGAGCAGGATTTGAATTCAGGTCTTCTTGACTCCAAGTGTAGGGCTCTACTCACTGTGCCACCTAGCTGACTATGATTAACTGAAAGGAATTATGTTCTCAAATTTTCCTAAAACATTTTGACTAGATTTTGACTTTGCCCTTATCGTAGTCTACCTTGCATGATACTTACTGAAGCACATGTCTGCTGGACTCATAGGACTGTAAATCCCTTGAAGTCAAGGACTCTTTTTTTATACTTGCTAGGTAACAAAGACATACACAACATGTTTGTTCAGTTGTTTAATTGAATATAGAAAAGGTCTTTCCTGTTCTCTCATTCCTGGTTTCTGCAGCACATTAGTTTACTAAGTCCTTGCCTTACAACAAGCCTGAGGTAGAGAATGTGAGTACTCTTGGCTCCATTTTACAGAGGCAGGTGGTACAGTGGAAAGAGCACTGAATTTGAGGTCAGAAGATTTGAATTTAGGTTTTAGACTGCCATCACTCATAGTGGTCTGAACCCAGGCCACACTATTTCCCCAAATTGAGTTTGTATCAACCTGAATATGACCTGTAATTAATGATATCTTAAAGTGTATAGCTATAGATTTTTCTCCTCCTTTCAAAACGACTTAATTCATATTACAGTCACATTATTCATATATTTTTGTTGTTCAGTCATTTCAGTCACATCCAACTCTTTGTGACCCTATTTGGGGTTTTCTTGGCAAAGATACTGAAGCGTTTCCTTCTCCAGATCATTTTACAAGATGAGGAAACTGAGGCAAACAGGGTTAAGTAACTTGATCAGAGTCATACAGCAAATGTGTCTGAGACCAGATTTGAACTCAAGTCTTCCTGACTCCAGACCTGGTGCTCCATCTACTGTGCTGCCCACCCATCTAGCTGCCCACATAGTCACATGTTATTTTAAACTTCTCCTAATTCAATAATAGTCACCTCATAAAAGGGTGACTATTGGAGGGTAACATATTTTGACTATTATGGTTTGAGCTCTGTGACCCAGGACTAAGTCACTTCAAGAAACTGAGGCTCAGAGATAATCTGTAAAATACAGCCAATTATACTTCTACTATCTACTTCAGGCCTGTTATGAGGCAAGGGCTTTGTAAACTCTTTTGTGGTACAAAAATGTTAGCTGACAACTAATGTTTTGTATTGTCCTTTCCCCTCAGGCTACAGAAGCCCTTTTTGGATTATGGAGATGCAGTGATGTATGGGCTACAGACCAGCCCCAGCTCTTGGCTCCAGAATCATGCCCTTTGGGGAAGGTAACAGCAGGCACAGTCCCCTTGCCTGGAAGGGGACAAAATACCTTGGGGTTCTGCTGAGCCTCTTGATCTGATGGGAGAAAACGCTAGGAACCCAAAGAATTGTACAGGAGTTTTCTAGCTCCTAGATTGTAAGCTCCCTGAGAGCAGGGACCATGTCTTTAAACTATGTATCATTCTTAACACTTAACTTTGGATTTTATAAACAGTGGGTATTTAATGTTTGTTTTATGAAAATGTTTTTATGTCAATTACATATGGTTCCTAGGGAACTAAATTTGCCCAGTCTCTGCCCTTGTTCTCTAATAATAATAATAGCTAACATTTACATAGAGCTTACTATGTGCCAGGCACAGTGCTAAGCACTTCATAATTACTATTTCATTTAATCTTCACAACGATTCTGGGAGGCAAGAGCTATATTATCTCCATTTTACAGATGGAGAAATTGAGACAAATAGCAATTTTTTTAGTGACTTCCCTAGGATTACATAGCTAGTCAATATCTGAGGTCAAATTTGAATTCAGGTCTTTCTGAATCCAGGCCCAGCACTCTAGTCACTGTGCCACCTGGCTACCCTCTAAAGACTTCCAGCTCCATGGAAATAACTATTGACTTTTTGCTTCTTGGGTACCTACTCAAACAGGGCATCATGGGAGCTTGGAACAAAGATTTTTACAGAGACATTTGCAACCAGACTATATCTCCACAGGCAGCCTGTTCCTCTTTGGATCACTCTAATTATCAGGAAATTTTTTCTTTACATCTTACCAACATTTATCCCTCTGAAATTTCCTGTGATTACTCCTAGTACTGCCCTTTGGGGCCAAGGAAAATAAGTCTAATTCATCTTCCACATGACATCCCTTCAAAGACTTAAGCTCAGGGGGCATCTTTTCTCCTACATCTTCTCTTTGGAAGGCTAAGCACCCAGCCCCATCAGTCTTCACATAGCATGATCCCAAGACTCTTGGTCATTCTGGTTGCCCACTACCTCCTGTTTTCCAGCTTACCGATTTATTCAGTCATTTGATGTCCTACTCTTCATGACCCCATTTAGAGTTTTCTTGGCAAAGATACTGGAGTAGTTTGCCATTTCCTTCCCCAGCTTACCGATATCCTTCCTAACAACATTTTATAGAGACAAGTGACTTTATCAATCTCCATTCAAATGTAAGAAATGCCAATCTCCTTCCATACACTATGCTATATTTGAGCGTGTACACGGGGAAGTGGCATAGTGGATTGAGTGCTACACTTGGAATCAGAAGGCCTGAGTTTGAATCCTGCCTCAGACACTTGCTAGTGTGGGCAAGTCACTTAACCCCTGCCACTCTTAGTTTTTCGTATCTATCAAATAGGGATAATAATAGCACTTATTTTACAGGATTGTTGTGAAGACTAAATAAGATAATATATAAGTAACTTTACAGACCTTCAAGTATTGTATCAATACTGGTCATATTTATTATAATAAAAAGGAAATTTCAGTAATCTTTCTGCCCCATCTCCAGGGAACTGAAAGTCTAGATTGGGGGTTCTTACCCTTTTTTTGTCCTAGACCTCCTTGGCAGGCTGATGAAGTCTATGGATCCTTTCTCAGAACAATATCTTTAAATGCATAAAATAAAATACATAGGATAAAAAAGGAAACCAGTTAAAATTATCAAAATTATTTTTCAAAAAATTCACAGAGCCCAAGTTAAGAAATGTTGGTCTATACTGTACTCTGGTGCCCAGAACTGAATGCAGTAGTCCAGATGCAGCCTGATAAGGGCAGAGTACTGAGAAATGTTTCTTCCTTATTCCTAGAAAACTTTGCTCTCAATGTCACCTTAGATCACTTATCATACTATTTCCTGCCTCTTTGTGAGATGAGCTGCATGTCCAGTCCTCTATTGTGAGATTGATTTATTTTTCACCCAAGAAGAAAGCTAAAATTTAATCCTATTTGATTCAACCCAGATGCTAACCTGTTCAAATTTTTTAAAATCCTAACTGTCATCCAGTGTGTTTGCTCTCCCTACCAGTTTTGTGTCATCTGAAAATCTGGTAAGCATCTATGCCTTTATCCAAGTCATTGACTTAAAAACATCAAACAGCACAGGGTCAAACACCTATGCTCCATTAGGGACTTCTTTCTAAAATGAAATTTAACTTTTAATGACACCCCCCTCCCATTAAACAATCCATCTAAAGGTCTAGCCTTCATCTCCCCATCTTTGTCATATGAGTAGTATAAGAGACTTTATTTTAAAATATAAGTAAAACTCTTTTTACAACATTACTCTTTTCTACTAGTTTATTACACCTGTCAAACAAAGGAACAAAGTTTGACTGGCATCACCTGTTTTGGATAAAGTCATGCTAGTTCTTTGTAATCAGTGTTCTCCTTTCAAGATATTCACTATTCATCTCTTAAATAATGCATTCTAGATTTTTGCAAGAATGCCACGTCAGTCTTACTCACCACTAATTTACAGAGACTCCATTCTCTTCTTCTTCATCTTTTTGAAAATCAGTACAACAGTTGCCAATGGTATCATTCCATTTCTCTGCAGCCTTTCAATGATGACTGATAACAGCTCAGTAATCAAATCTGCCAGTTGTTTGTTTTCTTGCTTTTGGTATCAGAGGATGTAGTTCATCTGGGCCAGGTGACTTGAACTCATCGGGGCAACTATTGCTCTCTTGGTTTATCTCCTATCTTGGGTGTCAACTATTTGTAGCCATAATTATTCTTTCCAGTCCAAAGATCTTTCTCCTTCTTAGGAGTAGCTTTGCCTTCTCTCTGTCACTCTTTATCATAGTTTCATCCACCCTGAGCAATGACTCAATATAGCTTTCTTAAAAAAGCAAAACTTTGTCGTTTTTGTCATCCATAGTCTTTTTCACCAGCCTCAGCTCATTCAGAATTTTAGCACTCATTACAATTCTTACAAGACTAGGTTTTGCTTTTTCTTCATCCTGTTACTTGTTAGAATGTAAGCCCCTTGAAGGTAGGGACTATTTCATTCTTTCTATCCTGAGTACCTAACATCTAGTAAGTGCTTAATAAATGCTTACTGATTGATTACTTGTTCTTGCTTCCAACTTCTTTATGTGTCTCTAAAATCAAAGTTAGTTGGAGAGTTCCTCCTATATCCTCAGTGAGGACTTTCTGCAGCTTGCCTTTTCCTTCTTCACTGGAACTGTTTCTCTTTGTGTCCTCAGATTTCATCCTTAAAAACTTCCCTTTCCTCCTAGGCTAACTTGTCCTTTAGGATTTTAGCCAGTGACATACAATCCTTCCTTTAAACCCTTTGAAATCAGTTCTCCCAAATTCTGGGATATAGGTCAGATTGTAGATTTTTTTTCCTCTCCTCTATCACAAACTCTAAGATAGAAGTAACTTCCCCCATTCAATGTTTCCAACTCCTCACAGTCTGGCCAGCTCCAATTAGCCTCCTAACCTCTTCTAGTTGCCCTCAAACTAGTAAGTCCCACTAGTAAGGGCCCCCATGGTCCCTGTTCTTCCTTATCCCAAGCTATAAAGGATTTAGAAGTCAAAACTCAGGCCAGTTAAAGTAAGAATGCCAAATGTTGTAGAGATAGAGCTTCCTAGGGTATAGTCATCCTACCTCCAGAATTCCATGGTCTTCGTTCTGAGATAATCCCCATCAGAAGGCTTGGAAAGGTAACACTATCAGATGCCCAACATTAGGGTCTTCCCTGTAGCTGGTTAGGTTAGACCTAGCCTGTCTCCAGGCAAGGCGTGGTGATTAATTGGCTTCATGGGTTTAGACCACTGCTTTCCTGTCTCACAACTTTACTATTCCTTCACTGGTTTGATAGCTAGAGCTATTAACAGTTGACAACTGGCAGACATGGCTTTGGCCAAGCAAATGCATGGCTATTGCCATCAGACAGACACCACACTGAACACAACAATACTGCCCTTGTTGATCATTTGTTGAGGGAAGGGGTGGAGTACAAGAAGTGTCACCTGATCATAAGGAATGTATTGTGTCTCAACCTTTTAAAAATGCACCTTTGGTAGGCCTTTTCTTATTGAAACATTGTTATTATTAATGATACCTGAAGAAGGTTAATATGGCATTATCTTGGTGGCTACAGTGGGGGGGGCTTCAGTAGAGGACTTGGGTATGAAATTTGTATAAGAAAATCTAAATGGACATTATAACTTTTAAAAGCAGCTGTGTTTTTCTGTCTTCTGTCTAGGCATGTTGTGGTTTTTTTCCTGCTTCTCACTCAATTGGGATTCTGCTGTGTATATTTTGTTTTTCTGGCTGATAATTTAAAGCAGGTAGGACTTTTCTTGCTCTTGTTTTGATGAAACTGAGAAACAGAGTTGCTTAGATTCAGACTTCTTAGCAAATGCAAGGCCTCAGAGGCATACATCTAACCAGAGCACTTGTCTAATCTTGATATGTGGCCCTATGTCAAAGCTAAAACTAGGTTGGTTGGGGCCTAGAATTTTAGAGTTGGGATGAATGAATCTTAAGAGGTCTAAGCCAAGGGTAGGAGACCAATGGCTTTCAGGCCTTGGGCAGACATTCACTGCAGTCTTTTGGCATTATTACCTAAATGAACACAAATTAGGATGCAATTTCAGAACAGTTTGAATTTAGAGTGAATAGTTCTGATTTTCTAGGATTTTATATAACTTTTTAAAATTGCATTAGTCATTGCTATGGTAGTAGTAAGACAAAACTGTTTCACTATTATTTAATAGCAATAACAGCTCACATTTTATGTAACTTTTTTGCATTTGCTATTACACTTGATCCTAACAACTAACCTGTGATGTGGTGCAATAGTATTCCTATTTCTTAAGTGAAGAAACTGAGTGTCTCTGAGTGGTATTGCTTAGTGGTAGAAGCTGAAGCTTAGCCCTAGATCTTTTCACCACAGATGTAAATATTCTTTTTTATACCATAGCCACTCAAAGAAACTCTAGGAGCTCAACATTTTTGCCACTTTTGAGGAATTCTCTTGATCTATTAGGACAAGCATATGCATCAGTTGAGGTTGGATGACTGTAGGTCAAAAATAAGAGGCCAAACTGAAAGAAAAGAGATTTATTAGCATGCTGATGACAAATTCAGATTCCTAGGATACAGGTTTCTATTAACCTTTCAGGTCCAGTTAGTGTACACAGCCAATCAGCATTCTGTGGCTACTTGAGATAGAAAATTACAACATTTCACAGGAGAGGAAAGGGTAGAGAAATAGGGGGATCTGTGAAGGAAGAAAAGGGAAGTATTTAGAATGCAAGTGGAAGGATTTATTATCAGAAAAAGAAAACTTTGTTCAAGGATAAGAGACAAGGGTGAAGAGAACAAATACTTTTACACTTGTGAAAGAAGTCCTTTTAGAGAAGACTGTAGAGTACCTAATCCAAGGCCAGCAATTAGTTGTTACAACAGTGGATGAGATCATCTACCTTACTATGTTGTTGCACAGAGGTTGGGGATTTTCTAATATTAGGCCACTGTACAGCTGAAAGATTTCTATATTGTTAGTCCATCCAGATGTTGCAAAATAATTGTGGTACTTCCCCACTCCTATCTCTACCTCCATTATACACTCTAAACTCTACAACTTGTGGATCACAGATAACAGGGGCTTACCAGCAAGACCAAAGTCAGATGATGACAGTGATGTCTGAATCACTAATCAAGTTCCTGATTTGCAGGACTGCATTTTCTTGGATGAATCATTTAACCTTTCTAGAAGTCAGGTTCTTGTCTGCAAAAAGACAGGGTTGAGGTAGATGACCTCTAAGTTTTCCTCCAACTCTTAAATCCTATAATCCTATGAATAAGTAGACACATAAAAAGTAACTAGGTTGTACTTGATTCCTTGACAATTTTTTTTGATAAATCATAGAATTAAGAACCAAAAAGAACCTTAGCAATTACTTGGTCTATAGATTTAAGGGAGGCTATACAGTACAGTGGATGAGCCCTCACATTGGAATCAGAGAGCCTGGGTTCAAATCCCTTCTGACACTGACCTTGAATAAGTCATTAGACGGACCTTGACCTTAACCTTGATAGACTTCAGTTCCTCAACTGTAAAATGAGAGGTTGAACAAGATGACCTGTAAGATCCCTTCCAACTCCAGATCTATGATCTCATTTTGTGAAGTCCGGGGAGGCTGTAACTTGCCCCACGTCATACAAGTAATAAGTGTCAGAAAAGGGATTCAAACCCAGGCCTTCTGACTTCAAAGCCACTGCTGCTGTGCTAAGAGAAGTAGCCTTAAAATCTAAGTCCTTTGACTTCAAATACAGAGCTCCCATCGCTAAACCAAATCAACAAATTTATTGAGAATATAAATTGGGCAAAGTGTGATTTTTGTGTAGTAAACTCCCTGAGAGCAAGAACTGTTTGATCTTTGCCTTTGTATCTCTAGCATAGTGTCTTACATAGAACACATAGTTAATTCTACATGTACTTCTACCTAATATGTTAAGCATCTACTTCTTACTCAGCCCTTCCCTAATAGCTGTGGGCAATATTAAGAAACATAATACACAATTCCTGACTTGAAGGAGCTTACAATTGAGTTCATATTAATATGAAGAGTTGAATAACAATGTAAGAGTTCAGAAACAGCTCAGGGTATTGTTAGATGTCACAAAGTGATATGTAATTAATTGTCCAACGAATAGGACAGGTAGTAAGGAAGTTCAGAAGAGCTCTATGTGCTAGAAGTCTTAGAGAAGTCTTCCTAGAATAGGCCAGTAGGTGGGACTTGAGCTAGACTAGGGGTGGGGAACCTGCGGCCTTGAGGCCACATGTGGCCCTCTAGGTCCTCAAGTGCAGCCCTTTGACTGAATCCAAACACAGAAATTCCCCACCCCTGACCTAGACTTTGAATGATGGACAGGTAGGATTGAGATATGAAGGGACTCAAAACAGTAGGTAGAGTATTTGAGGTAGCAAGAATTCAGAGCAGCAAGAATATGGAGGTGGGAAAGTATGAGTCACTATTGGAGAATAGTGGATATACTAGTTTGACTGGAGCAAATCTGGAAGGGTAGGCTAGACTCAGATAATGGAAGACCTAAATGCCAGGTTGGGGAGTTTGAACTTTGTTGGTAATGGAGAGCCTTAAAAGAGTTTTGACCAATTTTTGACCTGGTCAAAGGATTATTTGGGAGATATACTTCCTATTCCTCTTATCAGGTGATAGAAGCAGCCAATACAACTACCACCAACTGCTATAGTAATGAGACTGTGACCTTGACACCTTCCATTGACTCACGACTCTACATGCTCAGCTTCCTGCCCTTCATAGTGTTACTGGTATTCATCCGTAACCTCAGAGTCCTGTCCATCTTCTCCATGTTGGCCAACATATGTATGTTCATCAGCCTGGTTGTGATCTACCAATACATTGTTCAGGTATGTGCACAGACCATGGTCATAACCTCACTGGGGCCTTTAACACCTAGGCTTCCAGATGGAAGTTCTCTCCATTGTCACCATCCCAATTATTTACAAAGTGATAAGAAAGATCCCTAAGGACTTTGGTAGTATCTGGAATTTCAGGAAAAGTAATGCATCTTGGCATCATCGGATGGCTGCCTGAGACCTTTTTTCATTTGTTGATCAAAGAAAGAAGAGTAGAAGGGAAGGATATCTTCTGAAATTCCTGTGTCCCTGTTACTGGATGACTGAGCAATCAATCAACATCAGATCAGTCAGTGCCAGGTCTAATTGATTGTTATTCCAGCTTTCATGGGGTGGTATACCATGCTGGCTAGTCTGATGTGACATGGAGGGAAAGAGAGGCTTGACTTCATGGCGCAGGATTTCAATAAAAGGGACCACATCTATCTATAGAGTGCTATTCTCTCTTGAGTTCCAGTTCAAGATAAACAACTGCCTCTTGGACATCTCCTCCCTACTATGGCACTTGGAACACAGCATGTCCAGAACAGAATTCGTATTTTCCTCAAAACCCATACCTCTTCCAACCCCACCCCTTTTCACTGGACACCACTGTTGCCAGCCACCAAGGTTACTACCTCTAGAGCCATCCTTTCTGTGTATCTTCACAATATCTCTCCCAACCATTCCTGTCTCTTCACCCACACAACTTAAATAGTTGAGGCCCTCATTATTGTACACCTGGACTATTACAATATACTTCCACTTGGACTCTCTGCTTCTAGCCTTTCACCTCACCAATTTATCTTTCACAAAGCCACCAAGCTGATATTACTAACAGATCTGTCCATGTCTTTCCCCTACTCAAATCTTCAGTGGCTCCCAGTTGTTTCTAAAATAAAATTCAAACTCCTCAGCCTGGCATTTAAAACTGTCTACACTCTATCTCCCATCTACCTCCAGTCTTTTTTTTGTTCATATTACACCCTTCTCTCACTGTTCTAGTCAAACTGGCCTGTTAACTATTGCCTGTAGATGACATCATCCCTTTGCATAGGTGAGCCTCTATCAAGAATGTATTTCCTCCACCTCAGGAAATCCCTATCTTCTTTCAAAGAAGATCAACTATCACATCCTACACAGGGCTTCTTAATTTTACTCCTCCCTTGTCCCTCCACCTCACACCAATATTAAATATTCTTTCCCTCTTCAAATAACTTCCTTCTAAAAATAACTTTAAATAAGTTTACTTCTTTATAGCTTATATTTACTGACTTGTGAACAGATTAGATCCCCTTTGTAGAATGTAATTTCCTTGAGGATAAGGACTGTTTTATATTCCCAGGGGGTAAGCATAGTGCCTTGCACATTAATGAATATTTTGCTTGAAGTGAATTTAGAGATAGCAAGTGTTAAAGTATCCTGCAAAACAAATTTGGAAAGGAAGTAGTTGCTCACATTTCATCTGTGCATCATTTCTGCAGGCAACCCCAGCTAACAAAATGCTACCTCTTTCCTCTCCATAAGGCAGTTGTAACACTACTTCTGGATGAAGTGATAATAATATATAACATAATAATAACTACTGTTCATAGTGTTCTATAGTTTGTAAAAACACTTTGTATAAGTAATAGCCTCATTTTCATTTTGTGAATTTAGAAACCAATGCTCAAACTGATTAAAAAGTTTGTCCAAAGGCCCACAGATGGAAAATGGTAGAGCTGGGGCTTGAATCCAGATTGATTGAATCCTAGTTCAGTGCCATTTATATAACACCCCAAAGTCTTTGAGAGCTTGAGCCTTAAAAACTCCCTAAAGAAGAGGAGAACTCCTCCATGGCTCTCTGAGATTACCTGAAGGTCCTCTTCATCCCAGCACTTCTCTAATCTCCTCCTCTGTTCAGCACCATTGCTTAGGACTGTCCTTTTAGTCCTGATTTATGTCTGTCTTCTTCTTTCCTCTCCAGAGGAACCTGTTAAACTTTCCTTCACAAATCAGTAAAGAGTGGTGACCAGGAACTTCATCATTTTATTTAGTTAGACACACATTTATTAAACACCCTCTACATACAAACCTCTGTCCTGGTCATAGAAAAAAATAAATACAATAATCCCTAACCTCAAGGAACTTCCATTCTGATGGAGGATACATCATGTGTACAGAGAAGCAAATATAAAATGATTCTAGGAGGAGAGAAACCACCACCAACTTCTCGAGAACAATACTGAGGTCAACTTAACTTTTCTTTTCCTAGAGTTTCACAGGACTATTCACAGGGTTTATCTGCTCTGGGAGTCATAGAGCTTCTTCTCATCCTAGCCTCATGTTTTTATCTTTCAGGATATCCCAGATCCCAAAAACCTACCTCTTGTAGCTGATTGGAAGACCTACCCTTTGTTCTTTGGAACTACTATTTTTGCATTTGAGAGCATTGGTGTGGTAAGGTTTGAAGTGACTAGCAACTTCCTGGGACCATTGATGGATGCTTGGGGAGGAGGGTGAGACTCACTGTACTTATCGTCCTGACAATTGTTGTTTGTCCTTCATTCTCGTTCTAGAAGAGGACCGTGACATCAGGGAGGTGATGCCACGACATGCAAGTGAATTGGATTTAAGTGAGGGAGGGCTGTGCAAGGTCACCAGCCACACTTTCTCCTCCAGAGCCGTCTGGGTCCAGTGGCTAGATATAGATCAGGATGCCTGGAAATGGCCCAGGGTACAGTGGGGGACCCTGGCCTTTTCAAGCTAAGGTCTTTAACAGGTCTCAATTTGACTGAGGCAATGCCTATTTAGTGATTAAGGTTTAATAAGAAATGAGGCAGAGAATGGGCTCTTAACCTAGTCAAAAAAAAAGAGATCTAGGAAGGGAAGACCCTCTGGGTTTCTGGCCAATTAGAAACAATTGCTATTTACATTCACTCTGAGCTAATCAGTTGGGCTTTGCCTGGGACCTAATGTTGACCAATGAATGAGAGCTGGGCCTTTTAGGGAAGGCTAGAATAATGCAGTCAGGAGACAGAAATTTTGACCTATAGTAAAACTGAGGTAGGGGGACCAGGAAAGGGGCTGGAGTGTGTCAAATAAGGTAGTTTCACACATTTAGAACCAAAAGAGACCTTAGACCAGGTCTGCACAACATGTGGCCCACAGGTCAATTGTAGCCTGCCAAAGGATTTTGGGCAGCCCATGAAAAATGTAGAGGATATAAAAGAAAGCAAGGATGTAATGAGTGCTTTGTCCATGCCCCACTTAAACCACCTTCCACTAGTCACTATTGACTACTGTGTCTTGCGTACCTAACCTATTCCACTGATCCACCACTCTATTTCTTAGTCAGTACCAAGTAGTTTTGATGATTGCTGTTTTAAGCAATTTAAGATACACTTTGATACAATTTAAGATCAAGGTGGCTAGGCCACCTTCCCTTGTATTTCTTTTCATTAGTTCTCTTGATATTCTGGACCTTTT